GTCCGTATTGGTGATGTTCTTACAGTCCAAAATACTAACTTTCATATCTTTCATGTTTTCACCAAAGCAACCTCACAAGATATTGTTAGACCTGACGACCTCGAGAGCGGATTAAAAGGGTTGAAGAATCTCGTTGACTCTATCGATGTCAAAACTTTCAGTATCTCCAAATTTAATAACGATATCAATCCCATAGACTGGCCCTTTCTTGAACGTCTCCTCAAAACCACTTTCTGTCATTCAAGGTATAAAATTACTATCTGCACTAATGAAATTAATACCCCTCCTCTAGCAGATCGCATGAGAATCATTCAAGAAGCTCATGAATCCGTCACTGGCGGACATCAAGGGTTTACTAAATTATATAAAAATATTCGTGATAGATTTTATTGGCCCCGGATGACAAAAGATATCGAAAAATTTGTGAAAACTTGTAGTAGCTGTCAGGAGTACAAGGTGCGTGAACCCAAAACTCGACAGCCTATGCGCATAACTGATACCCCCGATACTGCGTTTGACAAAGTTCAATTAGATATCGTCGGACCCTTGCCTATTACAAATAAAGGCAACAGGTATCTTCTAACCATTCAAGATAATTTGACTAAATATTCCGACGCTATTCCTATTCCTACTTTCGACGCCCCAACCGTCGCTATTGCATTCGCGGAACACTTCATTTCTCGCCATGGGTGTCCTAAAAGCATTCACACTGATCAGGGAACTAATTTTACCAGCCAAGTCATGAAACTTTTCTGTAAGATTTTTAAGATTCAACTACTAAGGTCAACTTCTTTCCATCCACAAACTTTAGGGTCCCTTGAACGAGCTCATAGAGAATTTATTGGGTATTTAAAACATTATTGTAAAGAGAGAGACTGGGACGATTGGATCAGATTTGCAATATTTTCTTATAATGCTCAAGTACATCGCAGTACCGGATTTTCCCCTCATGAGTTAATATACGGAACTAAAGCGCGTATCCCCACCGAGTTCTCAACTGAAGACACAAGTCACACTTTTCTTCAGTATTTTGATAATTTATTTACTCGACTCACTCTGTCTAGAGCAACGGCTGCCGATAATCTTAATCAAGCCAAAGAAACATCAAAACAATATTATGATCGTTATACTAAACCCTATAATTATCAAGTTGACGAAGATGTCTACCTATTAAAAGAACCGCGACTTAACAAATTTGAACCGTATTGGAACGGACCCTATAAAATTGCCCGAATACTGAACAAAGAAAATGTCGAAATCTCCTTGGGGGGAAGTAAAACCAAAATCGTTCATAGTAATAAGCTTAAACCTGCCTGTATCCGAATCAACGATGAAGTAGATTAAGCTCTAAATATGTATATTTAAATTAAGGAAGATTTATCTAATTAGGTATTATAAAAAAAAAATATATTTATATTTTTTTTTTTGTATAAGGGGGAAGGTGTTGTGAATCCGAAAGGATTGATCACAACGCTCTCTGTATATTAATATAGAATTAAATATAAAAAGATGGCTGCAATAAATGATAGCGGGAAAAACCCAGTAAGATTTAAAATATGTATTTTATTTGTAGTAGTATTAGTAAGAAAAATAGGAATCTCTAAAATATTGTAAGCTTTTCTATTTTAAATTCTATTGT